GACATTCAATTCTTTTACTATCTCTGAATCCCTCACCATCAACCAGAAATTGAACTGTGGCTACGACAGCAGGTCAGAGGCTAGGAATACTGTAAAGAGTAACTCACCTCCTGACTCCCCAAAGCCTGCCCATTATCTACAAGGCACAAGTCAGAAGTGTGATGGAATACTCCCCACCTGCCTGGATGAGTACAACGCAAAGAAGAAGCTTGACATCTTCCAGGATAAAGCAACATACTTGACTGGCACCAGTAGCAGCAGTGTGTACTATCAACAAGATGCACTTCAGAAATTCAACAAGGCTTCTTTATTTCATTGCAAGAAGCCTGACAGGTAAGGCAAATAAACTTGGGCACGGATGGGTACATGGGACTGGGATAGTATAGCTATCACAGAAACATAGCTCAGGGAGGGACAGGTCTAGTATCTCAATGTTCTGGGGTATAGATGCTATAGGAAGGATAGAAGGGGAGGCAAGCGAGGAGGGAGAATTGCATTTTTGATTAGGGAGAACATCACGGCTATACTGAGAGAAGACATTCTTGAGGGTTTGTCCACTGAGTCTATGTGTGTAGAACTGAGAAATAAAAAGGGGGAGACCACTCTGATTGTACTATTGCGCCCCCCGCCGCCCCCCCCCCCCCCCCCCCGCCCCCCCCCCCCCACAATAGGCAGCCGGAAATTGAGTCATAGAGTAATGCAGCATGGAAACAGGCCCTTTGGCCCAAACTGGTCCATGCTGCCCACTCAGCTAGTTCCAATTGTCCACATTTGGTCCATATCCCTCTAAATGCTCCTGATCCATGTACCTATCCAAATTTTTTTAAATGTTGCTTTTGTTCCTGCCTCAACCACTTTGTCTGCCAGCCTGTTCCATATATGCACCACTCTCTGCGTGAAGAAGTTGCTCCTTGGTCCTTCTTAAATCTACCCCCTCACCTTAAACCTAGCCCTCTAATTTTCAATTCCCCTTCCTTGGGAAAAAGACTACATGCATTCAAACTATCTATGCCCCTCATGATTTTATACACCTCAATAAGGTCACCCCTCATTCTCCTTTGTTCCAAGGAATGAAGTCCTGTTCTGGCCAGCCTCTCCCTATAACTCAGACCTACTAGTCCTGGCAACATCCTAGTAAATCTTCTTTCCACATTTTCTAGTTTAACTATGTCTTATAACAGGGTGACCAAAACTGTACACAATGCTCCAAGTGCGGCCTCACCATCGACTTATACAACTGTAACATAACATCCCAACCTCCTTTACTCAATGCCTCGAGGAGCAAATATGTAAGGAGACCATAACTGCGAGAATAATAGCGTTGTAATAGTGGGAGATTTTAGCCCTCCTACCATTGACTGGGACTGCCATAGTATTATGGGCTTGGATGGAATGAAATTTGTTAAGTGTATTCAGGAAGAATTCTTCATGCAGTATGTAGATGGCCCTGTTAGGGAAGGGGCAAAACCTGACCACCTCTTCAGAAATGAGGCAGGGGAAGAGATGGAAGTGTTAGTCAGGAGCGCACTTTGGGACCACCGGCCATAATTCCATTAGTTTTAAAATAGCAATGGAAAAGGATAGGTCTGGTACACAAGTTAAAGTTCTAAATTGGAGCAAGGCCAATTTTGATGGTCTTAGACAGGAACTTTCAAAAGTTGATTGGAGGAGGCTGTTTGCAGGAAAAGGGTTATCTGGTAAGTGGGAAACTTTCAAAAGTGAGTCAATGAGGGTTCAGTTTCAGCATATTCCTGTTACAGTGAAGGATAAGGCTGGCAGGAGTAGAGAACCCTGGACCCTAATAGAGTAATTGAGGCCCTGGTCAAGAAAAAGAAGGAGGCATATGACATGTGTAAGCAGTTGGAAATCCTTGAGGAATATGGAGGGTGTCGGAGTACACTTAAGAGAGAAATCAGGAGGGCTAAAACAGGAAACAGGGTGGCTTTGGCAGATAAGGTAAAGGAGAATCCAAAGAGATTCTACAAGTATATGAAGGGCAAAAGAGTAACTAAATTTAGAATAGGGCCTTTTAAAGATCAACAGTGCTATCTATGTGCAGAGCCACAAGAGATGGGTGAGATCCTAAATGAATATTTCTTGTCAGGATTTACTATTGAGAAGGACATGGATGCTGAGAACTTGGAGAAATAAACAGCAATGTCTTAAAGAGACACATTACAGAAGAGGAGATGATGGAAGTCTTAAAACGCATTAAGGTGGATAAATCCCCGGGACCAGATGAAGTGTATCCCGGGACTTTGTGGGAGGCTAGGGAGGAAATTACGGGGCCCCTAGTGGAAATAGTTGTATCATTGACAGCCATAGGTAAAATGCCCAAAGGTTGGAGGGTGGCTAATGTTGTGTCATTATTTGAGAAAGGCTGCACAAATGGGACAAGTTTAATTGTGAAAACTGGCAGCATGGGTAAATTGGGCAGAAGAGCCTGTTTCCATGCTGTGACTCTATGGCTCCTCTGGCAGCACCTTTCAAACCCATTACCACTACCATCCAGAAGGAGTAGGGCAATAGATAGATGGGAACACCTGCAAGTTCTCTTCCATGTCTCTCACCATCCTGGCTTGGAAATTTATCACCTTCCTTCAGTGTTGTTTAATGGAACTGCACAGGTCTCCATACCATGTAGACTGTATTGGTTCAAGAAGGCAGATCAATGCTATCTTCTCAAGGGCAATTAGGGATGGGTAAAAAATGTTGGCCCAGCCAGTGGCATGTACATCCCCGAATGAATTTTAAAAAGTAATTTAATTCCTACACTTATTTATTCTCACACTAGTTCATTCTCACATAGGCTATTTCCCAGCCTAGATCTTTCCTACACCAGTCCTTTCTTATATTTTAGACTCTACTCATCTTACCCTGTCCTTCTAAATTTTGCAATAAAAAGAAATATTGAAGATATGCAGCACTTCTTCCTGGAACCCAGGATTTCATTTCACTTTAATGTGGTTGAAACGGTTCAGCTCTGACCTGCAATAAGTCAGAAATGCATTGCAAAATGTGTCTTGGATCAAGTCCAAAGAAATATTAATTCATAGCAGCGGACCATACACTGAATTAGTGTAATTGTAGGATTAGACTGGGTGAGACATTAAAGGGTGTGGGGAGTGAGGAGGAAGTGGGATTAGACTGGGTGGGATATTAAGGGGTATGGGAATGAGGGAGAGGGTGGGATTAAACTGGGTGGAATATTAGAGAATGCTACAAAGATAACTTTAGAGAGTAATTCCTTTATAATATTAGAGAGTTATACAGCAATAATATTAGAGAATAATAGCTGTAACATTGGAGAGTGATACGGGGATAACAAGTGAGAGTGGTAACTTTCAATATTAGAGAGTCTTATCATTAGAAAGTGATTTAATAGTGATGCAATTATATTACTGAACAGTATTAGAGTAAAAATATTAGAGAATAAAACAGGCGTAATATTTAGGAGTGATTCAGGGATAACATTTAAGAGTGGTGTAATTCTAACATTAGAGTGTGACAGTTATAACTGAGAATGACACCACTATAATATAAAATTGACACAATGGTGCAAATGTAGTATTAGAGAGTGACAGTTACAATATTGGAGGGAGATAGCTAAACTATTATTGTGGCACAGGTATAATATTACAGAGTGACAGTTACAATATTAGAGAGAAATAGCTATACCATTAGAGTAGTACAGTTTTAATGTTAGAAAGTGACAGTTATAATATTAGAGAGTGATAGTTACAATATAATATTAGAGCACAACAGCTATACTATCAGTGTGACACAGTTACAATATTAGGGAGGGACAATTGTAATGTTAGAGAGTGATAGATACTTAGCTCGACTCAATTATAATATTAGAGAGAGATAGATAATTTTGTGTCATTGTTATAATGTTAGAGTGATGGATAATTAGTGTGACACAGTTATAATATTCGACAGTGATAGATAAATAATGTGACAGTTATAATATTAGTGAGTAATAGATAAATAGTGTGACAGTTATAATAAGACAGAGTGAGGAGGAAGTGCGATTAGACTGGGTGGGATATTAAGGGGTGAGAGAATGTGGGACTGAGTGGAATATTAGAGATTGCTACAATGATAACTTTAGAGAGAAATTCCTTTAAAATGTTAGAGAGTTATACAGTAATAATATTAGAGAATGATAGTTGTAACATTGGAGAGTGATACAGGGATAACAAGTGAGAGTGATACCTTTCAATATTAGAGACTCTTAATATTAGAAAGGGATGCAATTATAACATTAATACAACAACAACAATAGTCTGACAGTTATAATGTTCGAGAGCGATAGATAAATAGTTATAATTATAATATTCAAGAGTGATAGATCATTAGTGTGACATAGTTACAATATTCGAGAGTGGTGGATAATTAGTGTGACACAGTTATGATAGTCGAGAGTCGTTGGTAATTAGTGTGACACAGTTATAATATTAAGGAGTAATAGATAATTAAGTGTGTCACTCTTAAAATATTAGAGAGTGATAGATAATTAGTGTGACACAGTTATGATAGTCGACAGTGGTTGGTAATTAGTGTGACACAGTTATAATATTCGAGAGTGATAGATATAAAAAGAAACACGCAGACGTTTCAGCGGAAGAGACGAATTACTTGACGTGGAATTACTTATAAGTGGATCAAATATTTATTTAAGATGTTGACTCAGGATTATTTCGATTGCTGCTCCCTGCCCTCTATAATAAAGATAGACAAGCATTGGATGGGATTAAGATAAAGAGACCAGAGAAAGTGTAAGACACATCATTCTTTCACACCCCCGGCTGGGTCAGTCATGTCAGCAGCACAGACACTGAGCGCCTCTCCTCAGCTCCTTTTGTTTACTCGGTTGTTGAGTATGTTGTAGTGCCCCAAAGTCTTGGGATCCTGCTGTGTGCACCACCGCCCCCTCCTCTCTATCTCTCACATGGTTTTGCTTTGGTTGAAGTGAATTAGCAACCAAAGACATCAGGATGGATTTGGGGAGCCTGCAGACAGTGGTGGCCAACTCTGCCTATATCTCGGCTCGGGGCAGTTTCGATGGATCCGCCAACCTGCAGATGACCAGGGATAAGAAATATCGAGCCAAGCTGAAGCTCCCTCACATCACCCAGAGCGAAACGCTGAAGGAGCAGATTGACTTGGCCTTCGATAGCATCTGTGTCAAGCAGCCCATCGGGAAGAAGCTATTCCAGCAATACTTAGACTCAGTGGCAGAGTACAAACCGGCCAATGAACTCTGGAAGGCTATTGAAGTGTACGACACAGCAGAAGATGAAGACCGTCTCGAGAAAGCTCGAAACATTATCAGCAAGTTCTTGGAGTCCGGGGCTGAGCTCTTCTGCGGTTACTTGGAAGAAAAGAGCATCTTGAGAGTGAAGGAAGACTGTGAGAATGTCAGGGAGGACCTCTTCAGGGAGTGCAAAGAGTCGACCATGAAATTCTTAAAGGAGGACAGTCCTTTCGAGCATTACAAAGAGAGCATGTATTTCATGAGGTTCTTGCAGTGGAAGTGGCTGGAGGCTCAACCCATTGGGGAGGACTGGTTCCTGGAGTTTCGGGTCTTGGGGAAGGGAGGGTTTGGTGAGGTGTCTGCTTGTCAGATGAAAGCCACAGGGAAATTGTACGCTTGTAAAAAGCTGAACAAGAAGAGACTGAAGAAGAGAAATGGAAACCAGGTAAGGTGGAATAGATTGAAGCAGACAAATTGTTGTGGTAAATGACATTCAATAAGTGCCAATCCTTTGTAGGATGTGGGTTAGAGTAATTGGATAAAAGGCCACCTTAAGCTGCTGAAAAGGATCATTTCAATAACCTTCCTATGAACCTGACCTCTGAACAGATTAACTGGCACCAGGGTTTTAACAATAACTGCCAGACCCTGATCCCTCCAGACCACTGTCCCACTCATTATTTCAGATACAACGCACAAAGTACCAGTTGCAATCAATGGCTGAAATGAAGCAAATCATTCCAAAATTAATTAATGGAAGGGCACACGTGGATATCTTGGGTAGGGGGGGAGGTGACACAACATAATTGTTTGAATGACACAACACCAAGGTAGCAAAGGGATCACAGAGACAGTAGAAGGAAAACCATACTCAAACTGTGGGATAATGTGGGAGTAGAAGCTGGAATCCGCCAAACATTACCACGGTTAAACAGAGGGAGAGAAACATTCCCCACTGGTAGAGCAGGAGGAGGGGGACAGAGGAGGTCAGAACATGGGGCATGACTTTGAAATTTGAGTCAAGCCATTAAGGACCGTTTTCAGGAAACACTTTTTCCCTTAAAGGAGGGTGGAGAGGTGAGCCCATTCACTCCATGGAGGCGCCGTTTCAATTGGGAATGTGAAAAATTGAGAATGGTAACAATTAGTACATTTGCGATTGGGGGAGTTGTGGATGGTGAAGAGGATTGTCAGAGGATACAACTGGATATAGAAAGGCTGGAGACTTGGGCAGAGAAATGGCAGATGGAATTTAATCTGAAAAAATGTGAGGTGATGCACTTTTGGAAGATCTAATATCAGGGGGAAGTAGACAGTATATGGCTCAATCTTCAGTTTCATCAACATACGGAGGGATCTAGGTGTATAGGCCCACAGTTTCTTGGAAGTGGCAACAGAAGTGGAATTGGTGGTAAAGAAGGTATATGGCATGTTTGCCTTCATCATTCGGGGCATAGAGTATAAAAATTGGCAAGGCTTGTTGCAGCTGTATAGAACTTTAGTTAGGCTGCATTTGGAGTATTGTGTACAGGTCTATTATTGTTTAAATGGTAAAACATTGAGAAATGTGGATGTACAAAGGGATCTGGATGTCTTTGTACACCAGTCAATGAAAGTAAACGGCCAGATGCATCAATCAGGAAGTTGTCAGGCCCAGAAATTCACCAAAGATCCTCAGACAGCACCTTCCAAACCCACGACCACTTCCATCTAGAAGGACAAGGGCAGCAGACATATGGGAACACTACCCCCTCCAAATTCCCCTCCAAGCCACTCACCATCCTGACTTGGAAATATATCATTGTTCCTTCACAGTCGCTGGGTCAAAATCCTGGAATTCCCTCCCTTAAGGGCATTGTGGGTCAACCCACAGCAGGAGGACTGCAGTGGATCAAGAAGACAGTTCACCACCACCTTCTCAAGGGTAACCAGGGATGGGCAATAAATCCTGGCCCAGCTGGCGATGCCCACATCCTACAATTGAGTAAAAAAAAACTTTGCCCCCAACTGTTTTTTTGATATCTTGTGGAGTGAATCGAATTGGCTGAAGACTGGTATCTGTGATGCTGGGAACCATTGGAGGAAGTGAAGGTAGATCATCCAGTCACACGTATTGCTGAAGATTATTGCAAATGCTTCAGCCTCATCTTTTGCACTGATGTGCTGGGCTCTTCCATCATGGAGCCTCCTCCTCCAGTGAGTTGTCTGACTTATCCAACACCATTCATGACTGGATATGGCAGGACTGCAGAGTTTAGATCTGATCCACTGGTTGTGGGATGGTTGCCACTTATGCTGTTTGGCATGCAAGCCGTCCTGTCTGGTAGGTCACTACGTTGAGACCTTATTTTCAGGTATGCCTGGTGCTGCTACTGACATGCCCTTCTGCACTCTCCATTGAGCCAGGGTTGATCCCCTGGCTTGATAGTAATGGTTGAGTGGGGGATATGCCATGTCATGAGGTTACAGATTGTGCTGGAGTACAATTCTGCTGCTGTTGATGGCCCACAGCGCCTCATGGATGCCCAGTCTTGAGTTGCTAGATCTGTTTGAAGTTTGTTCCATTTAGCACGGTGATAGTGCCACACAACACAATGGAGGTTATTCTCAATGTGAAAGTGGGACTTTGTCTCCACAAGGTCTCTGTGCTGGTCACTCTTACTGATACTGTCATGGACAGATACATCTGTAACTGGCAGATTGGTAAGGATGAGATCAAGTATGTTTTTCCCTCTTGTTGGCTCCCTCACCACCTGCTGCAGACCCAGTCTAGCAGCTATGTCCTTAAGGACCCAACCAGCTCGATCAGTAGTACTGCTGCCGTGCCACTCTTGGTGGTGGGCATTGAAATCCCCAGAGTACATTTTGTGCCCTTGCCACCCTCAATGCTTCTGTTCAACATGGAGGAGTACAGAGTCATCAGCTGAGGGAGGACAATAGGTGGTAATTAGCAGGAGGTTTCCTTGCCCATGTTTAACCTGAAGTCAATTTTGAGGTCTCCAAGGGCAACTCCCTCCCACCGACTGTATACCACTATGCCACCACCTCTGCTCGTCTGTCCTGCTGGTGGGACAGGACATATCCAGGGACGGTGACGGTGGTTTCTGGGACATTGTAAAGTATGAGTCTGTGAGTATCACCATGTCAGGCAGTAGCTTGATTAGCCTGTGAGACAGCTCTCCCAATTGTGGCATTTGCCATTGCTTCTGCTGCCTTGGTTGATGCCAGGGGGGTCCACCCGAGTGAATTCCTTTTATCAGAGTTTGTAGAGTTTTGATGTAGATGTGAGTTTTGCTCAGACATTCCAGAGAACAGCTAAGAATCAACCACGTCGCTGGAGTCTGGAGTCACATGTAGGTCAACAAGGTGCAGGGCTGGATGAACACAGCAGGCCAAGCAGCATCATAGGAGCAGAGAGGCTGACGTTTCGGGCCTAGACCCTTCATCAGATGATGCTGCTTGGCCTGCTGTGTTCATCCAGCCCTGCACCTTGTTG